TTGGCCTGTGCACGGAGGAGGCGCCGCGTGCACCCTGCTCTCTGGTCCCTTGTACATGGTTTGGCTGCTTGATGGTAATGAGGATGATGTGGCAGTGCCATCTGTCTTCCTCTGAGTGCCGCTGCTACCGCCTTAATAGTTTTTCCCTTTTCAAGCGTCTGCCGATTGCTCTCTCGTCAGGTTCACAGACATTGGAGCAGAGCGTCGGGGAGTGGCTGGAGTCGCTCGGGCTGCAGCAGTATGAGAGCAAGTTGCTTCTGAATGGTTTTGATGATGTCCGCTTCCTGGTAAGTGCCCAGGGCCCCCGGGTCCCAGCCCTGCTGCAGCCAACACAGTATGTAGACCTGTCACCCAGGGAGGAGTTGACGGGCCCCGGGGAAGCCAACCGAGTGTCCTGTGCCTTCTCGGGAGGGTCCTGAGGGACTCCTGCCCTCCCTGTCCCCTCACACCTCTGACCAGGCGCACGGCCTGTGTGCTCCCGGGGCAGAACTCACGGAGTCAGGAAGAAAAGCAGAGAAAGCCTGCTCGTCTTGCATCTGCTCCCACTGGAGCAGGGGCTCATGAGGGCCATGGGCTCAGGTCCAGTGTTAGCTGGATGTGGTCTGGGGCAGGGTCCCCATCTCCAAGCCTCTCCCGGAACCCTGTCTGGGGCGCGCTCATGGCAGCTCAGCCAGGCATCAGGCCGAGCCCAGCCCAGCTCAGCTCACGGGCCGGCCCGAGTCCCAAGTGCAGGCCATTCAGTGATGGCCGTGACAGCAGCGTGTCTGCCGGCTCTCACTGTGGGAGCTTGGTCCTCAGAGCTGTTGTCGAGTGGCTCAGTGACCGCCAGCAGCCTGGGGTCGTTGGACGTTTCCCATCTGCCCCACGAGAGAAGTGAGCAGCGGCAGTGACATGATCTCCCGGGGCCCAGGGTCGCGCTCTGATCGCCGTGTCAGAGCCCCTCTGTGGGCACCGCTCCTGGCGGAACACACTGCCGAGGGCGCCTTCTGGCCTGAGTTTCCTGGGAGACAGGGTCTAAGGTAAACCTGGCGAACCCCGCGGCCCTGCTCTGCCTGGCTTTGGGGAGGCCTGTCCCTCGCTGTCCCTGTGCCTGGAGCACAGGTCCCTGTGCACCAGCGCCTCTGCCCGGCCACCGCCCTGGAGGCCAGGGTCTACCCCCTTGTGCCGCAGACACTGACACACCACCCCTCTCCAGTCAGCGTGGGGCAGCTGTCTTTCAGCTTTTAAAATTTTTTGCTTTAAAATAGCAACTTTTCAAGGGCCAGGGATTTAGCTCAGTGGTTCTGCTGTCTGCTCCGCAAGCACAAGAACCCGAGTTTGATTCCCAGTACCAAAAAAAGTCATTGCTAAAGTAGCAACTCTTCTTTTTTTAAGTTAACCGAGTACATTTATGGCTCTCGTGACCTACCCCTGACTCACCGTGTTCTTTGAGGAAGGGTGACAAACCACAGTGGAGGAGGCGCTCAGCCGGGAAGGGAGCATTTTGTCACCCTGCTCCCCAGGCACATGGTATCAGTTCCCTCCAGCAGCTGTGGTCTGCACCCCTGCAGTGTGGTTTTCCTCAGGCACCAGAAGGCCCCCTTGGTTCTGAGGTGCCCTGGAGACACTGCTCCCAGATGCAGGGCAGCTCCAGATGTGCTGGGAACATCTGGTCCGTGCTGCTGTGGGATTCCCCTGTGACAGGAAGGTGACCGCGAGCTTGTGTTTCACGGCTCCCTCTCATGAGGAAGTGACCTGAGCGTCCTGGGGTCTGATCACCCTCTGTGCCTGGGTCCCTTTCAGATAATCTCGGCCATGATGTTTCCGGTGACAAGAGGATTCTCTACTTTACCAAGCAGTGGCCCATTCGTTTGATCGTTGCTTGCATTGCACTGGATTATTTTGGTTGCTTGTTTTTGAGGCAGGGTCTCACTATATCACCCAGGCTGTTCGCAAACTCCTAGACTCAGGTGATCCTGCTTCAGCCTCCTGAGTCAGTAACTGGGGCCACAGGTGCGCCATGGTGCTTGGCTGTGTTGGCAGATTTCCAGCATGTTGCACCGAGTCAGAACTCTTCTCGTGGCTTCTGTCGCCCTGTCTTTGAAGGCCTCCTGGCCCGCCTGTCTGAGCTCAGCACTGCCTGGCTCTTGGCTGTGCCTTTGTGATGCAAAGGTTGAGCTTGGCAAGAAGCCGTCAGCTTTCACCAGCACTGCTCGCTGGCGCTGGCCTGCAGCCGGAAGGGGCCTAGGTCATGTGGTCCCTACACGAGGGGCCAACACCCCACAGACCTTGTCCACAGGAAGTGGCTTTCTCGGGAGAAAGGCAGGCAGGCGTGGAGTCGGCATGCAGGAGGCTGACGGCTGGGTGGCGGCCAGCAGCTGCGGCCTGAGCGCGCTCTTGGCCCCCTGCCGAGGTGTGGCGCATGCATGGCGCTGGTCCCAAGGCTGGGTGTTAGACCTGGGTTGTTCACTGCCGTGTCAGGAAGGACAGAAAGTTCCTGCGGTGTGATCTGAACTTGGCACGAAGCAACCAGGCCTGCGTGGGCAGTGCAGGGAGCGAGCCAGGCGGCTTCCCTTTGCCTTCTGGAGTGGAGTAGATTTTCTCCTCCACCTCCTGTGAATGGGTGTGAAACCAGAGCAGCAGTTGATGGAGGTTAGGGTCCAGCTGGGAAAACAGACCTCCTAAAGCAATAGAAACGGGAGTGCAGCAGGGAGGAGGAACAGCGCTGAGCTACAGGCTGGGAAGGCAGGGGAGAGGCGGTCTGGGCCTGACTGGGCCTGACTTCTGAGGTGGAGGGTGGGCTGGGGGCCTTGGCCCCCGCCACAGAGGCAGAGGGGAGTGGAAGGAGCCCTGCACGGCTGCCGACTGGCTCTGGCCTCCCGGCTAGCCACTCCCTGGCGCTCTCCGGGCTCTTCCGCTGCCGTCCTCCCACCTGCTTCCGGGAGAGCTGGCGGTGGTGCAGGCTGAGCCCTGACCCTGCAGCCCGTCCCCGGGCCCTGTGGTCCCTTCCTGTTCCTGCCCCTGGTTAGCTCCTCACTCTGCTCTCCGCTACATCCTGTGACCATGGGGTGGGGGCCTGGTCTCCTCTCCGGGTCCTTGGCCCCTGTCGGTCCGAGCAGAGGTGTCGTCCAGTGCTGTCCTCTCCTCTGGCCATGGTGCTGCAGGAGCCAGCTGCTGTGTTGGGCCTTCTGTGCCCAGCTGACAGGGCCCGAGGTGGGAGGGCTGCCAGGGCGAGGCGTGGGATGGAGGCCACCTCCGTGCCAAAGACCCTGGTCATGTAGGAGCTGAAGTCCTCGGGTCTCACTAGGCTTCCCTCGGCTCCAGAGCCAGGATGGGGACAGCTGTGTCGTCTCCGGCTAGGGGAAGGCTCACCTCAGCCCCATCCTGGGAGTGTCCCTCTCACCCCTCCTCTCTGCCTGCTTGGGGACTCGGGAGCCCGGCTATGACGGCCCCGGCCCTGCTGCAGCCTTTGCCAGTGCTCTGGACACCAGAAGAGGTGGGAACTCTCAGGAGTCACCACTGCCAACTTGCCTGGCCACACTTTAAGGTGGAATTGGGTGGCAGCTCCTTCCTGCTCCGTGGCTTCTGGTGGCTGACCCCTTGGCCCGAACAGTGTCCCAGAATGTCTGCTGCTCATTTACCCAGCCCCTCACCACACATGTACAGAAGGTGGTCCAGGGATTGGGGTCCCAGACCTTCCTGAGCCATCTGTGGGCTCCTGCAGACTACGGGCTCCAGACGGCTCTAAATTTCGCCATCTGCCTAAGGCTGTTCCTACGTAGCTGGCAGAGCTGGCCCTGGAAGCAGGGTGCTCTGGGCCCAGCATGATGACCCTGCACCTCCTTCCTGGAAGCCACTGTCTCTGCGGCTGCTCCACAGAAGCTGAGCCATCTGTCCTGAGTATGTTCTGCACTGCTGTAGGCCCGCAAACCCACCAGGGCCCGGCCACGGCCACAGGTGCTCCTGCCGCCTGCTCGCAAAAAGCTCCAGTCAGGCAGGCCTCCCAGTTCAGTAAGGGGACGGGACCAGGCTTCCTCCAGGCTCGCCCTGTGACTGGGAGGGCACTGTGCCTCTTCTGACCCGTTAATGAGGCTCTCGTGTGACCAGCTTCCTTCATGGGCCGTAAGCCCCACAGGGGACACACGCGGCATCAGGGCTCGAGGCCGGCGTTTCTGTGTGAGGCTCTAAGGTAGTCTTTTCAGTGGGAGAGGTGAGTGCACCTGGCCTGCAGGAAGAAGAGCAGTTATCCCTGCCGATGTCCTCGGGTCCGGCGGGCAGAGCTGCCGTGTGTGGTCTTGGACCCAGCAGCCCTTGCTCTCTGGGCTGATGTGGGCCCAGCAGACCTACACTGCTCGTACGGCACGAAGAGCTCAAAAGGAGGGCGTTTCAGGAAGCGGGCAGCGGGTGAGTGGGGTGGATGCTGTGTCTGGCCCCCTCGCTCCCTGCCCTGCCCTCTGGCCAGTGTGAGGTATGAGGTGCGTCCTCTGTGATAGGTGAGCAGATGAGCGCTTGGACAGCGTCTTGCGTGGGATCGTGGGTTTCCAGCGGGGTCAGCACAGGTGAACCCCTGGGCCTGGGCACATCGGAAGCAGGGACATGTTGTGGCGCTAAGCCCTCACCTGTGGGGTCTGTGCCACCTGCAAACATCTGCTGTCAGAAGTGAGTTGAACCTTGGGATGCATTTGGTGCCCATGGGGACCGAGTGGTGTGTCCTGGGCGCGGCTGGGAGCCAAAGCCTTCGGTCCCCCATGCTGGCCTTGCCCTGCTCCAACGGAGCAGATGCAGAGACCAAGCTGAGAGCAGCACAGGACTGCACTGCTGGCCGCGTCCTCCTCCCCTCCGGCTTGGACACCCGGGTCAGTCAGCACATGCGTCTCACGAGGACAGTAGGCAGTCGGCCCTGTCACATGCGGGGCCTTTGAGCAGACCAGTGCAGGGGCAAGGACCAGGCGCACGGCAGACGGCCCCCTTTTCCGCTGGCCGAGCAGGGTCTAAGCCGTGCCACCACTCCCAGACAGCCCTCCTCAGGCCCGTTCCTGTTCGTTGGGTGAGGACCTTGCCTGTAGTCAAGCAGGGCTGACGCGTGAAATCCCCTGCACGGTCCGGAGGGTGGTTTCCTTCCCCCAAGGCTGCACAGGGGAGAAGGCTCTGGAGGGCCCGTGGGTCCATGGCTGCTCATCCCCAGGCTGTGTCCAGGCCCCACTGTGAGCCAAGTCCCCTCCTGTGCTGGGAGCCAGAGCAGTGACAGGAACCAGCGGGAAGGAGAAAGCACACACGCAGACTGGCCTGGTGGAGGTTAAACTAAGACAGCCACCACACGTTCAGGCTGGCCTGGGCTGAGACACTGCGCTGTGTCCTCAGCCGGACCCCACTCCTGCCCTGTGTGCCTTTCACAAGTCCTTAGCATCCACCTCTGCACCTCCCAGATGAACAGCGGCCCATGCTTGGGGACCCACTCTGCTCCAAGATCGGATTCTGGACTGTTGGAAAGAGTGAGTTTAGCTCAGGAGAAGCACTGTCCCGGGGCAATACAGGCAGAGAGGGCCGCGCCCAGCCAGGGTAGGTTGTGCAGCACCGTGGGCGGGGAAAGTGACTTTGGAGCTGGCTGGTGGAGCGGAACAGCACCTGTGCGGTCCAGAGCTGTGCAGCCTTGGCCTTGCTGCTTTCCCTGCGCGGGCAGCTGCTGTCTTGGAGGTTCGCAGGAGGATGTCCTGTCATGAGTGGAAAGGACCCAGATGGGTGGCCTGCACCTCCGCTGAAGCCGAGGGCGGGTCCACGTTGTCCCCTCTGTCACGCTACTCTCCCTCCAGCTCTGGACGGCAGTTGTGGGCAAGGAAGCAGGGCTGGGAGCAGCCTGCGGGCACCACCCTGGCTCCCCTCCTGCGTGTAACCTGACCAGGATGCGGTGGAACTCAGCCCGTGGGACAGTGACATGGCCGCTTCAGGGTTCTGGGGACCCTGCACTGTGCCCAGGATGTGCTGCAAAGCTGTTGGCGCTCGGTCTCCAGCACGTACTCTGCTGCTTCTTCCTGTTCACCTAACGCTGCCCTGTGACGACGGGGTCAGGGACGAGGGCATCTCCTGTTGGAGCAGAGCTCACCGGTCAGCATTCGTGTGGCCTTGAGAGCTGCGGATGTCACCACCGCGTCACCCTTCGGGATGCGCACCTCCTCCCCTGTGGAGCTTCCTGGCTGGTTCAGCTCGGACACTCACTCAGTGTCCTTGTCCCTTGGGTGCCCTCGTCATCGGGTGGGCAGTCTGTGCAGGTGGCTGCTGTCTGCCCTTCTCAGGCAGATCCTCGACGGGGTCTGAGTGACCAAGGTCACTGTGTGGTGACCCTTGGACATGTGTGAGCTCCAGGAGTTGGCCGCAGACCTACGGGGTTACCCTGGCCTCTGCATGCCCTGGAAAGGACACGTCCCACGGCCTGGCCACAGGCTCTGTACACCTGGTTGTCCTGAGCTGACGGCTGGTGGCTTTCTCTGCACGACTGCTTGTCACCACACATGGGCTCTGCAGGAGTTGTCACTATACCCAGTGGGGCCACCGGGTGACGGTCCACACGCGCTGGCCCAGCTATGTCACTGTCGAGGGTGCCGAGGGTGGGGGCAGGTAGATCCTCCTCAGGAGACCGGAAGTCCAAGAGGCCCCGACGTGGGATTTCCGGCACTGGATCAGAGTGCCTGAGTTTAAGAAGGTTGGACCCTGGCTCAAACCTCCCATCAAAACAAATTCCAAATGGTTAAAGACTTAATTGTAAAAAAGGAAACAGATTACACGAAGAAATGTGTGAAAATTTAAAAAATAATCTTGAAAGGGGAGCTCTTTCGGAACTTGACAAACCGAAGAAGCAAACCGAAGAAGCTGTACAAGAAAAGTTGAATGTGTTCAGGTATAAGAAATAGAATTCTATCCCAGCAAAACCAACATAAAAGTCTAACAATAGATGACCAACTGGGAAACCACAGGTTTCACTCATTGCAGAGATGGTTAACGTGAAGAACACCTGAAAGTCTGCCGAGAAGACCAGTGGCTCCTTAGAAACTGAAGGATGGAAACAAGGGACCTGGGAAAGGCTGTGTGGGCACCGCGCCATGCGGCAGCTGGGCCCCGGGGACGGGATGAGGCTGATGTGGCTCTGTGGCCTGGGCCTCAGCTCCGCTGTGTGGGGAGAAAGCAGCCCATTCCTGCAGCACTGGCATCCCTGAAGGGACAGAAACATCTATCAACTAAATACGGGCGCCTGTCCAGCATCTTCCTGTCCCCAGCCTGGAAGTGACACCCACGTGTGGAGGTGTTGCAGAAGCTGAACGGGACCAAGTGTCCCTGCCCGGGAGCGGGTTCGTGAACCTCCCTAGCTGGGTGGTTCCACAGCCCAGGAGGGAGGTGGGTGCCCGAGATGGGCAGTGCAGCCCCAGTGTGTATCCTGCTGGCCAGGGACATCCAGGGCGCAGCCACGGCTGCTTCCAGAAGGGGGACGGGGCTGAGGAGTGAGGCGGCTGTGAATTTGTTCTGAAAACACCTCTGGTGGCACTGGATAAGAGCCAGCCTCCTGGCAGCTGGGAGCTGAGGGAGACTAGGCCTAGCTGCTGGGCTCAGCCGCGCTCCGCCCCTCCATGTGCGGGTTCGGGGCCTCGGTTTCCTCATCCGTGAGGCAAGGATTGAGACCCAACACAGGGTGTGTTTAGTGGGGTCTTGATCCCCATCCTCACGAGATGAGCCCATGGACAGCGCCAGCCACCGGCCACCATCACTGCCGCTGCGCTGAGCGCCTTAACTTCAGCTACGCTCAGCTCAGAGCCCTTTCCCGCCAGGCAGGGAGCCCTCGTCCTGGAGTCACCTGCAGCCCACCGAAGAGTCACGAGGCTGTACCTGGGAGGCCCCAGGCAGGGTCTTCACCCTGCAGTCATGGGACCCGACCTGTCTCCCGGCCCAGGCCAGCTGCCCTGGAGCCTCTGTGAGAGGAGGAGGAGGGGACAGGTGTGGGAGACCCCTGCCCACCATCAGCGCTGAGGGCCCTGACACCCTTCTTTCTGCTCCCAGGGACCTAATGTGATGGAAGAGCAGGACCTGCGGGAGATCGGCATCAGCGACCCCCAGCACCGGCGGAAGCTCCTCCAGGCCGCGCGTTCCCTACCCAAGGTGACCGCCCCCGTCTCTCTAGCAGCAGCTGGGCTGACGGGGAGGGGCTTGGCACCCACCCACCTCTAGGACCCAGCAGGCCACTACTGTCGCTTCCCTGGAGTCCTCAGGGCCCTAGGGACAGGGACCACCACACAGGGCTGATGGAGGATCCACGGTCTGGCCTGACTCGAGCAGGCGGCAGAGGATGCAGTCCTCCAGTCCTCCCGGGGAGCCAGGAGCTGTAGGCCCAAGCCTCTGCCCTCAGCTCTGCTGGTGCTGTGTCCAGTGTCCTGTGTCCCGGAGCCCAGGGAAGGCCAGCTTCACAGGTCCCTGCAGCGACCGGGAAGAGCTTGAGGTGTGGAGAAGCCTGGCCCCTCACCCCGTTCTCACATTCCTGGCCCTCGACCTGCAGGTGAAGGCCCTGGGCTGCGATGGGCACAGCCCCCCATCAGTGCCCTCCTGGCTGGACTCCCTGGGGCTGCAGGACTACGTCCACTCCTTCCTGTCCAGCGGCTACAGCTCCACTGACACTGTGAAGAACCTCTGGGAGCTGGAGCTGGTCAACGTGAGTGCCTGGCCCTCCTGTGCTGGCCCTGCCGCCACTGACCTGTGCCCTGCTGACCTGTGCCCCGCTCTGCAGGTCCTGAAGGTCCATCTGCTGGGCCACCGCAAGCGCATCATCGCCTCCCTAGCGGACAGGCCCTACGAGGAGCCGCCACAGAAGCCGCCGCGGTTCTCCCAGCTGCGAGTGAGTGTTAGGAGCCCCCTTTACATGGCGAGGCCCTGGAGCTGCCGGTGATGAAGGACCCCGTTTAAAGAAGCAAGGAGAATTGAAACATCCCAGGCCGGGTTGCAGGGGCAAAGCTGGGGTTCCTGGTCTGGCAGAGATGCCGGACTGTTCTGGGAGGTACTGGGGATTGAGCTCAGAACCCCACACTTGCCAGGCAGTTTTTGGTGCGTTTGTGACTGTCTTACCATGTTACCCAGGCTGGCTCAAGGGGTCCTTCTGCCTCAGCCTCCCGAGTAGCTGGGATTTGAGGTGCCAGCACCGCCCCTTGCTGAGGCCCTGTATTTTTTAAAACCTGGGTGACACAGTGCCCAAGGCAGCTGAACTTGCTCACAGGTCAGGACCTGTGCTCCCAGCTGCAGGCCTGGACATGCCCTGGGGACAGTGACACAGTGATCCCAGCTCCTGCCTGTGCACCTCGTCCTCAGTCCTGAAGCCTGAAATAAGGAAGCCGAGGCCCAGCCTTGACCTGGGAACAGACGTGGCTGCCAGGGGCTGACTGCGCCCTAGAGGCGGCTGTGGCCTCCATGCTGCTGCAGAAAGGGCTTTGCCTTTGGCCATGGGCCCGAGCCTCAGTGGGTGGGACAGGTGGCTTTATTTCGATGAATGTGAGCCTGGCTCCCGTCCCAGGGCCACTGTCACTGTCTGTAGGCAGCCCAGGCTGCAGGGCCCCCGGCCCCACGAGAATTCAGTTGTTCCACTGTGAACAGGCAGTGCCCCGGTCTGTCCAGTGTCTCCTCAGCATTGGCCCTCAGCCCCCAGCTGCTTCTGTCACACTGGTTCTGCCGCCCAGGCAGGGCCCCAGTCCGTCTCCGGGCCAGTGGACACCTGGAGCCCGAGTCTTACCCGGCATCTCCCTGCAGTGCCAAGACCTGCTCTCCCAGACGTCATCCCCGCTGAGCCAGAGCGATTCCTGCACCGGGCGGTCGGCAGACCTGCTGCTGCCTTCAGGGGACACGAGCAGGCGGCGACACGATAGCCTTCAGGACCCTGCAGCTCCCTCTCGAGCCGAGCACTTCCGAGTCCAGGTGGGCACGAGGGGCGGGGGCGGTCCCCTGGGCACGGCCAGGCTCCAGAGCTGCCCGCTGCCCTGTGCGGGGTCGGGGCAGGTGGCCACCAGCTCCCTCCCCTGCCCGGGGCCGGGCTGAGGCACACAGGTCCCAGGCCCTCAGAGCCACATCGTCCTGGGTCCTCCACCGGCACGCAGCAGCCCCAGTCTCTGCTGTGGCCACTCACTACCTTTTGGTGGCCTTGCTGTGGCACAGCAGCCGCTGCTTACCCCACAACACTTTGCTGCCCCTGGTGCCCTCGGCCCCTTCCTGGGTTGCCACCGCATGGCATCCCATCCTTACCCTCTCGGTGTTGCTTTTGGGGCTCCCAGATTCACTCAGGGTTTGCCTAACCCCCCACACCCTGGCCTAACACCAGGTTGGCAGGCACCCTCTGCCCTTCGGTGGGGAGGGCAGCTCCACTCCGTGGCCTCTGGGTGTGTACAAGGTGGTGGCAGCGGTGTACCAGGGATTGAACCCGGGACCCCACATGCTGGGTCACACACTGCCCCTGAGCTCCAGCCCCAGCCTTTTCACCCATTTCACTTGGAGACAGGTTCTCCGTTACTCAGGCTGGCCTCAAACTTTAAAGTCCCAAAGCGCATCCTGCAGCAGTCCACCTGCTGTGTGGAGATGGCACAGTGCTGCACTTGGTGTTTGCTGACCCCCCGTCCCTCCTGTGTGCCCCTCCTCTCTCCTGTCCCTGCTGCCGCCGGAGGACCCATTTAAAATGCTTCTTGGCCACGGACAGGGACCATCACGGGGGAGCTGGCTCCTCTCCGCCACCTGTGTTCTTTGCGCTGAGCAGCACCCGTAACTTGTGTCCCTGCCTCCTCTGAGACTGCTGTGCTCTAGCTGGCTCGGCTCCCCTCCACTCCCGCACCTGACCCCCGGCCCCTTCAGGGTTGCCAGCTTGTGCACCCCGGGGTTGCTGGAGCACCACAGCACTCCTGACTCCTGTGGCATTTGCAGGAGGAGCCCCGCGAGGCCAAGCTGACCCTGCGGCCACCCAGCCTGGCCGCCCCCTATGCCCCCGTGCAGAGCTGGCAGCACCAGCCGGAGAAACTCATCTTCGAGTCCTGTGGTTATGAGGCCAACGTGAGTCGCTCTGCCCTCCCAGCCTCCCTGCCTGTCCCGCCCACACCTCTGGGAGCCTCTGCAGGCCTCCGCTCTTCAGCCCTGGCAGCTAGGGGAGGACGGCGGGGGCAGAGTGGGTGATCATGGACATCCTCGGCTGTTTGCGTAACCCTGATCACTGCTCACTCCCACAGTACCTGGGCTCCATGCTCATCAAAGACCTGCGAGGGACGGAGTCCACTCAAGACGCCTGTGCCAAGATGCGGGTAGGCTGGCTGTGGGCGGGCGGGACAGGGGAGGACGGGCTGCACCACACTGTGCAAGGATGGGGGCTTGGCCTGTGGGATGCTCAGGAGCACCTGTCCCCTGCAGAAATCCACCGAGCACATGAAGAAGATCCCCACCATCATCCTGTCCATCACGTACAAGGGCGTCAAGTTCATCGACGCTTCCAACAAGGTGCGGGTCTCCAGGACAGCCTCATCTCACTTCCTGTCCGCCCCTAGCCAAGTCCTTCTCCTTGGGACCCACTCCTGTCCCTACTGCAGTGAGGCTGCTGCTCTTGTCCTCAACACAAGTTTATGGGCTTCCCACGGCCCTTGGTGAGCAGAGGACGCCAGGGCCTGCTGCCCGGTTCATGGTCCTTCTCGCCCGAGCTCTGTGGTCAGGGCAGGGCAGACCACCAGGCACCTCGGACTCTGCCCACATCTGCACTGAGAAAGTGGGGTTCGGCTGATGCCTTAAGGGGACAGGTGCCCAGCTGGGATGGGTAATGGCAGGCTGGCCCAGGAAGTCCAGAGCACACTTTCCCCGGCAGAACGTCATTGCAGAGCACGAGATCCGGAACATTTCCTGTGCGGCCCAGGACCCAGAGGACCTGTGCACCTTCGCCTACATCACCAAGGACCTGCAGACCAGCCACCACTACTGCCACGTCTTCAGCACGGTGGATGTGGTGAGTGTGGCTGCACCCCTGCTGTCCCGGCCCTTGGCAACTGTTTGGCTCGGGCACAAAGCTCAGCACCATCCAGTGGCTCCCGATGGCAGAGACTGCAGCCGGAGGGTTCCAGCTCTTGGCCAGTCGGGCCAGGGCTCTGTACCCTAGGCTTTGTGCCCATTGCTCGTGGGCCAGGCCCCTGTGACAGGGACCAGCGGCCCTGCGGGACCTCCAGTAGAGGGCACTGCCCAGGCAGCTGTCGCCGCTAGCCTCCTCACCCTGGAGCAAGCCCATCCAGTCCAGGCCCCTGTTGACCTTGGGGAGGAAGCTCCGTGGTCCTGGGCAGTCCCTCTGTGCCCGGCCCTCTGCTGGTCCAGGGCCAGAGACTCTGGCACCAGAGATCCACTGTGCCTCGACCGCTCCCAGCTCCTGGGGCTGCTCTGAGATGCAGAGAATGGCGTGGTCCATGCTGACCTCCCTGTAGCTCCCGGGTGCCACAGTGCTGCTGCAGCTCGACACCTCCTCTGTAAAATCACACTGAGGACGTCAGGGTGAGGGGACTTGGGGTTGGGCACACCACCACTTACACCTTTGCCTGTGGCACATTTAAGAAAAAAAACAAAACCTAATAGAAACTTTGGCACCACTTTATCCACAACCACTTTATCCACACAGTGTAAGCAGTACCGGGACCACCAGGAGATGCTGGCTTCTGCCGTGAGGAAGCCTGACTGTGGCGGCCGGCTGTGCCTCAGTGGGGAAGGGCAGGGTGTTCCGTGCACCTCACAGGCCTTGGTGCTGCCACAGCTTTCACTGGCCCGTGTTTCTGCCAGACAGAACCATGTGGGAAATGCACTGCTTTGCTGGTTGATGTCTGATGACCACTTGTGGTCGAACAAGTCTGTGTTTTTAAAACTCCATTGTCCCTTGTGCCCTGAGACCCCGTGTGTTCACCTGGCAATCTGCTTTCCCAGAACCTGACGTACGAAATCATCCTGACACTGGGCCAGGCATTCGAGGTGGCCTACCAGCTGGCCCTGCAGGCCCAGAAGTCCCGGCCGATGGGGGCTGCCGTGGCCGAGATGATCGAGACAAAAGCCTCCAAACCGGTGCCTAAGCCGCGGGTCTGCATGAGGAAGTCCGCAGTACGTGGCCGCGGGTCCGGGGCCAGGGGCGAGGCTGGGCACGTGAGGATCTCCCTGCACCTTTGGGAAATGGCCCTCCATGGAGCCGAGCAGCTCTGGCACAAGGCCGTCAGAGGCCACTTTCAGGGTTTCCTACCCTCCCTTGCCAGGCCCCACCCAGTGCAGGGCCATCTCGGGGCTGCCGGGAGCGGCCATGCCGAGTCCTGGTGACAATGTCCTTGTGTCTGTGTCTGCTCTGCTCCACACCCCAGGTGACGCTGCCCCCCGATAGTCGCTGTTGTTACTGTCACACCTGCACCACCCACCGTCCTTCCTACCTACCGCTGCCGTCTGTTAGTCCTGGAGTCAAGGTCTTTACACCTCCTGCTGTCTTGTGTGTCAGTCTCCCTGAAATGACCGCGAGCTTTCTCAGAAGGGCTCTTCCTCTGCTTGCATGACATTCTCTTCTTCCCCAAGCTGCCCTCCCTGTGTGCTTTAGCCCTCTGTCTCTGTCCTGTGTCCCCCTCAGCAGCCTGGGATGACTGCCCCTCCTCCCCACCTGCCACCGTGAGCATGTTTGGGGCTTAGAGCAGGAGGCTCCCGAAAGGCAAGGCTCCTCTCCCAGGGAGAAGCCCCTGGAGGTGGCCATCCGCAGGGTGCTCTAGGGGGTGGGGCCCTGGGCAGAGCCCCCCTGACTTACACCCTGCTGTCTCGTTTGGCAGCTGGAACCACCTGACATGGACCAGGAGGTCCATTCCCACGCCAGTGTCTCCTGGATCGTGGACCCAAAGCCAGACTCTAAGCGGAGCCTCAGCACCAAGTATGAGACCACTATCTTCTAACAGCCCACCCTGTCTCCTAGTCTCACTGTGCCTTTGCCACCGGGCTTTCTGCTGTCTCAGCTCCTCCAGCTGCGCCGCCTCGGCCCCGGCTCCACGGGGACCCGCGCTCCTCCTGGCAGCAGCTCCCGACACCACACTCACAGCTCTTTACACCACCGAACACTGTGAATCCTCCCCCGGGCTGAGGACAGCGGGGGGCAAGTGGCCTTTAAGGTGGGCACCAGAGGAAGCCTCTGGACAGGCACCGTGAACCCTGAGGGTGGGAGCACTCTCCTGTCTTCATCCTGAGCCACAGCCGGGGCCACGCACTGACTGTTTCTGCCTTTCCTGGCACAACCAACCACTGTGACCACCCGGGGAGCGTCCCCTGCACTGCTCACTGCTGGCTGCTCCCAGGTGCTGGCCTGTCCCGAGCCCCCAGGCCCACGGCTCAGTGATGTGGCCTCTCTGGGCAGACTGCTTTCTTTGAGGGCCGAAGGTCTGGGCTGGGCACGTGCTGGCTACTTGGCAGGTTCCTTGGCCCTGGTGGGCCTTCCGGGCCTTGGAACGGGATGTGAACATGGCTGGCGCTGGTCTGAGCCATTGCATCCTGGGGTGCCACAGGGCCAGCTTGGAGGCGGCTCTGCCCTGCATGAGCACCTTCTGCCCTCACAGAACAGAGCTCCCTGAGCCAGGGGCCTGGGCCAAGCACCACCACCTCTCCTGTGCCGGGGTCCAAGCTAGACTCAGCCTGCCCCAGCCCCGCCTCCCTGGTTCTCCATCCTGGAGGCCACAGCCTGCAGAAGCCCATGTCCCAGCTGTGGGCTGAGCAGTTTAGTGACAAAGGATGGTAGGGAGAGGGGCCAAGGGAGCAAAGTCCCAGCTGCAAGCCAGCGAAGTTGCACCAGCAGCCAGTGAGGAGCTAGGGCAGGTCCTCGGCACCCGCCTGTCCTGTGCCTTCCCCAGCAGCTGACCGGGCCATGGAGGGTGCTCTGGGGAGGCTGTGAGGGACCCTCTGTCTGCTTCTGTGCTCCTTTTAGTTTCCTCCGTCTTGTCCAAGCCCCTGTTGTTAACCGTGTCCTCCCCCCGTTGTTTGCTTCTGCCAAGCTGAGCCACGAGGAACACACTGCTTCGGAAACAGACGTGGGGAGCGCAGGCTCCCGCCACCATTGCACCTCGGGCCTGCAGCTCTGAAGACCAGGCCCGGCCCTGCCTGCAGGACCCGCTCCCAGCTGCAGCCTGGCCCCTGGCAGATGAGACTGGAACTCCGGAGGGTCAAGATGTGACTTGTCCACAATACATGTTTTTAGTAGAGAGAAGTTTTATAAAATGAACTTTTAACACTTGGCTCAAACCTCTAGGTAAACTGCCAGTCCTTAAGATGACGGCGGGTTAGTCCACAGCCTTGTCCTCAGTGGGGCTCAGTGCAGCTGGGGTACGAGAAGGCAGCAGCCCATGGGGAGCAGAAGGGAGCGGGCATAGCAGAGCTACCCAGCCAAGGTAACTTGTTCACACTGCCCGACTTCTTGTCCTCATTTTGAGCTACTTGGGCTCTTCAGCGTACACAGCCTCAGATGCCTGACCAGATTCCTGGTGTTTCTGGAGTTCAAACGTGAAGGTCCAGGGGCTGCTGGAGAGAAGCGAGTCATTCTTGGTGCTGGGAAGCCATGACTAGGCCAGGAACTCCCTTCCCACTCATTTGGTGGTAAGCGGAGCACCCCTGGGGCCAGCTGCCCGAGCTTTCTCGCTCTCTAGTGACGTCTTGGTGGAACAGGCAGCTTTGTCTGGGGCGTTAATGGGTAGATCAGCAGAGATGGCTACTTGCCACCTTGTGACTCATCTAGTCGGGTCTGTGATTAGGACTCGTTCTGATTCTCTGAGTTACTTAGTTGACTGTTGTCTTCTCTGCTGCTGGGCTCATCCCCAGCTCAAGGTATGGAAAGGGTAGATCAGGTGATAGTCTGTTTACCCCACCCCACAAAGAGTGGCCTTGACGGCAGGCTGCTGCATAACCTTACTGCTAACTTGCTTTGCTTTCAGCTGTAAGTGGGGCTTCCTTCTTGCCTCAAGGACAAAGGGATTGGCTCTGTGGGGCAGCGAGGCCTAGCCGTAGCAGCTGTTTGTCCCCGTGGGGGAGGGGCACTGCCGTGGGTTTCCTGGCCCTGGTCCTTCTGGTCCCAGGATGAACCTTCCAGCTGCAGAGGCATGCGGTGCAATTCAGAGTGCTCTTGGGCACCTCACAACACTGTGGGAGGCCCAGAGGAGGACGAGGGCTTGTTGTCCACTAGGCTGTGTGGGCTTCCAGAGTGCCCCACGCAGCAGGTACTGGGGTGCAGCTCCCCGTGGTGGAGGCAGGTTGCCCCCTATACCTAGGTACTAACAGGGACCCTGACACCTGGAGTCTGCACTTCGTCACCTGCCTCTCAGGGTCCACGGTAACTCGTCCTTGCAGGAGTCCCGTAGACCAAGGGCCCTGTAGGCGGGTGGAGGTCCTGAAAACTCTTAAGACACTACACCGAGCTCCTCACACTATCTGATGTCTTTCAATCACAGTACGCATTTTTCCCCTTGAAGCTGCTATATCGTCACTATTTATTCAGGGTGTTTTCATGTTGGAAAGCCTTGGCGAGGCTATGCTGGCTCTGGGTCTTGTTTTGAGACAGGATGGTTTCTTTGCGAATGTTCAAGAAAGAAAAGTGACTGGATCACTCTGCTCTGGCTTGCTTGCTCACTGTCTCCCTCACCCCTCCTCCTGGAAAGGGGCAGTGTGGCTGCCAGGACAGGCTCCAGGGAAAGGCCCTGCTCCACCCCGCTCTGAGTGCAGGTCTCTTGGCATGGCAGCCGCTCCGGCGCCTGGGAGAGGAGCTCCCTCCCCAGGCTCCCGCTCGCTGCCTTGCTCCTGCCAGCTTTGCCCTCAGCACTGCCCGCCTCGGGTCTGGGTATGGGTCTGAGCAGCAGCGTGGCACAGAGTGGCCGTTGTCAGGACGTCAGGACCTGTGCAGGCCTGCAAAGCACTGTGGCTCCTGCTGTGGCAATGGACTGAATTGTAATAAAATGTTATTTAATCTTTGTCTCTGTATTTTGATACTTGAATGATTTCCCTTTTGTGTTACTGTACATATAATTGTTCATCTGATTTTGTCTGAATTATAAACATCTTGTGGTACCAAACATAACCAATCTGTGCAACATAGACTGACCTCACTACACACAAGAGTGTGAATCGTCCTGGGCTTCCCGCTTTGGTTTTGTTTTCATAACTGTACAACTTAGAAGAGACTGAATTAATAAATGAGAAGCGACGTAAAGCCAGCCTTACTTGTTGGAGTCTTTGCATCGGAAGCTTCTTGTTTTCAGGAAGAAGTGTGGATGCTAGGTAGGCACTGCTGTGGGTCAGGAACCGGGGTCCTGCTGTCTAGCTCTGGTGCCAGTGTTCTGCTCTCTCCGGTGTCCTCAGCAGGGCGCTGCTCAAGATGGCTGAGTAATAACTGTACTGCATGTGCTCAGGAGCACAGGGCATGAGTGCCAGGGCAGGGCTGCCTTGCTACAGATGCCACTGCATCCTGGACTGGGCTAGTGGACACCTGTGTCCTGGGCACGGAGGAACCAAAAGCTGTGAAGGAAAACTCTCCTTCAGCAGCTCAGTTTGCCTACAGGAGGCTACATTTTAGACATTCAGCAGGGTCCTGGCCAAAAGCCTGTGGGGAGGCACAGCAGGACCAAGTGTCCCCAGAGAGCCCAAGAGGGGAAGGAGGCAGAGGGCGTTGAGCTAGTGTCTAAGGGGAGAACGAGAAAGGCACAGTCGGCGTACCAGCAGCCCTTCACTCACTGTCACTGAGCCCCCTTGGTCCCAACTGCTGGAAGCCTTGGGACTCCCTCTCCTCAGCCCGCACTGGTGTGGGGAGGAACTATCCTCACTGCACAGGGAGCAGCTGGGCTGAGAAAGGCTGAGACGCCACACAGGGGACTCCGGGCCAACTTGGACCCAAGCTGCCCAGCACAGAAAGTTCTTACTTTGACTTCTGTGGACTCTGCTACTTGCTAAAAGGTTCAGAAAAAGAAAATCACTAATCCAGTCCAACACGTTATTTTGAGGAAAACAAGGTCCAGAGATAACAATTTTTCTTTGCCCACTGATGGATGGCACAAAGAGGACACCAGGTACTCACTCCAGCCTCCAGCCCCCTTTTCCAGCAGACAGTGAGGATCTCCACACTGCTGCAGCTGGGACCTGGAGCAGGAGGAGCTGCCATGAGCTACAGCCAGCCTTCTGCTCAGCCTGAGAGAGGAGCACAAGGGACCCACAGCCTCCTACGCGCGCTCTCTCTCATACACATGCACACACAGCATTCACTGCAGAAGCCAAGGTGGACTTCTACAGGGACAGCTATTGAGGAGGAACCCTGTAAAACCAGGACAGTTTCTAAGGCAGCTAAAAGACCCTCTAGTTGGCCATGACCACCCAGCTTCCTAAGCCTAGACAATGTCTGAGGGCCAAGTGAGTCCCACAGGCAAGGCCATACAGATCTGTGGGGTGTCTCGCAGGCCAAGCCAGGCTCAGGGAGCACCAGCATCATCCACAAACACAAGGAAAGAAGTCCAAGCAGCCCTTGCTCAGTGCAGCCCCTGGGACTTGACGCTTTGTTCAGAATTCAGTGTTACTAATGCTGTTACTAAAAAGTGTTTACTGAATGAAAGAGTTGCCCTATACCAGCCACAAAATAAGGATTACCTGGGAAACCAGCTGGATGACTGGGTAGCGGAGGGGGTGGGGGTGCAGGGAGATTCCTCCTCCTACTTAACACCAAAATAAATTCCAGGTGGCATACATTTCTAAATGTATAAAGGAAAAAAAGGAAAAGTAACCTCAGAGCTAAGGGAAAAAATGAGAAACTTCCTTTCATATCCTTGTATAAGAAACACTTTTCCAAACAGGTTACAAAACTCTGAATCCAGATTTTTAAAAGATTTAACTATGTATAACTGTATCATACTCAACTATATAAAAACCAAATGTTCTGGCTTAGCAAAATTACTGTTAAAAAGCTGAAAATGTTTACAACAAACACTCTTGTAACAAAGGACAGCCTCGCGATAGCTATCAGGGTAGATCAGAACGGCTTCCTCCAGGAAGTGCCCTTCCTTCCCACTCAGGGCGGTAGGAACTGTGGGGGAGACGCCAGCAGGCAGACACAGCCCAACAGAAGCTTTTTTAACTCCGGCAACTGGACCAGGAAAGGGGCAGCCTAGTAGAAGAGATGTTCAGATAGTAACAGCCCTACTCCAGGGAAACACACAGTAAACCGTGGCCCCAAACCCAGCCAACCTGCCCCACTGCAGAGGGCACCCCAGTGCTCCCCTGGGTGCCGTTGGCAGAGGCCTAGTGCAGTCAGACCCTCACCACCGCACGGTGCTTCTGAGGCTGCTCTGTGAGGGCATCAGTGGAGACCAGAGGGGGACTGGACCACTCAACCCCCAGCGGTGAGTAATTTCCTACCTCAGTGACCTGGGGATAGGCAGGGGCCTGGACGTCCACCCACCTGGCAGGAAGGATGCCAGGGCTCCCCTTGCTGGAGTGGTGTCAAGATCAGTTAAAACACAAGGGTTATGTAAGATCAGGAGTGCTGGAACACAATATAAAACGTTCTGACGCTCAATCAAAAAGCCCCTCAGTCTTTTTTTTTTCATACCAGGGATCGAACTCGGGGCCTTGCACTTACAAGGCAGGCGGAGGAACCACTGAGCTAAATCCCCGGCCCAAAGAAGCTCCTCATTCTTAATTCTTAAACCCAGAAAACTAGTTTAAGAGGCAACAAATAGAGGCCAACAGCAAAATAATGGTTAAAATTATCTGACAAAAACTTTAAAACAGCCATCATACGTGGTCATAGGTTAATCTAGAGTATGTGATGCTGAGATTAAAGGCATGTGGTTCACTAAACTAGTACCCTGATTGGTTTGGCCCCATCCTACTCCCCAGTAGTCTGGATAAAAGAGGCAAAAAGTCGCTCCCTGTTAAAGTTCCATTGTTGCCAGGCGTGGTGGCGCACGCCTGTAATCCCAGCACTTGGGAGGCTGAGGCAGGGGGATCACTGTGAGTTCGAGACCAGCCTGAGCTACACAGTGAGTTCCAGGTCAGTCTCAACTACATAGTGAGACCCTGTCTCAAAAAACAAAAATAACAACAAAAAAAAGTTCTATTGTTACTTTTGCTATCATATGTGCCATGAACTGTTTCTCCTCTATAAGCCCTGTTTTCCACACCACTCTGCCTAGGGGCCAGCGAATTATGGACTGGAACCTCTATAAACTGTGAGCTAAACCTTTCCACCCTTAAACAAACGAAAAAATAAAACAGCCATGATAAAATGAGCAATTACAAACACGTTTAAAATAAATGAAAATAGAAAGTCTGAGTAAAGTAAAACACATGAACAACATAATGGAAATTATAGAACTAAAAACCAATAACTAAAAAACCTCATTGGATGACTAAAGGGCAGAAAAGAGGGGAAAGAGAATCCACAAAGAACAAAACAATAGAAACTATCCAATCTAACGGGGAAAACTAAAAAAAGAGATGATAACCAAAGATCTAACCTTTGTGTCAGCAGAGTACCAAAAGGAGAGGGGAAGAAGCTGGGGCTCAAAACAAGCACTCATTAAAATGTGGACAGCAGGAAGCACATGGAAGGGTACAGAACAGCCTCGACCTTCAGGGAGCTGGAAATCAAGATTACAAAGTAATAATGATAGCATCCCATGTGCTGTGACATGCAGACACACTGGATCACTCAGAATATCATTAGACTCTTTTTGGTACCAAGGTTTGAACTCGGGGCCTTTCACTTGCAAGGCAGGCAGAGGAACCACTGAGCTAAATCCCCAGCCCTCCTTAGAAATGTAAAATTGGGGCAGGGAGTTCTCTCAGTGGTTCCACTGCCTGCCTTGCAAAAGCAAGGACCTGAGTTCAATCCCCGGTACCAAAAAGAAATGTAAAATTGTACAGTCATTTGAAAAAATCTTTAAAAACTAAATACACAACTATTGTATAACCTAGCAATTACATTCCTGGAAATTTATCCCAGAGAAAAGAAGACTGATGCAAAAACTTGTGCATAAATGTTTACAGTACCTATAAAATAGTACCTCAGTTCACAGACTTAATTCTACGATTCTGGCTGCAACCAAAGTGCAAGCATAAGTTCGTGAACTGAGGAACCACTGTATTCATAATAGTCCCAAGCAGGAAATAACAAATATATCCTTCAACAAGTGAATGGTTAAATCAAGCATGGTTCATCCAAACCATGGACTACTATTCTGCAATAAAAAAGAAAAAGTGCTATTGATACAACAACCTGATCAGCCACCAGAGAATTATGTTGAGTACAAACAGTTATACTTTTAAAGGGTTACACATTGCCTGATTCTATTTACATAACATTCTTGATATGATAAAAATACAGTACAAATTAGTGGTGCTATCAGTTAAAGAGGAAGTGGGAATGGAAGGAAAGTGGATGTAAATATAAAAGGACAACATGAGGAATTTATGCTACATGTGTGATCCAGCATGTGTAGAGTATTGTTCACTGCAGCACTGTAAAAGACTGGAAACAGCTCATTCAGCAGGATACTCACTAGACAAAAATACTTACTATCCAATGCAAAAATATGCAGCTATTAAAATAGAAAGGATAGCCCAGCCTGGTGGCACATGCCTGTAAACCCAGCTCTCAGGAGGCTGAGGCAGGAGGATCGCTGTGAGTTCGAGCCCAGCCTGGGCTGCACAGTGAGTTCCAGGTCAGTCTCAACTACATAGTGAGACCCTGTCTCAAAAAACAAACAAAGAAGCAAACAAAAAGATAGTTATATATGCTAATTTTTATTTTTTTATTTACTTGCCATGGTAGGGATTGAATCTGGGACATGGGGTTTGGGGATGCTAAGTACTCTACCACTGAGCTACATGCCCAGGCCTAATTTATTTTTAAAAGAATGTGTGTGGCAGGCAACTGTGTCAGCAGCACAGTATAGAGGGTAACAGTATTTACCAAGCCAACCCACAAGAGATTGGTAAGTTTTACGGGATTGTGTACACATATGTGAAAATGTACATGCTTATGTTATAGTTCCATGATTATATCTTTGTGTATATTTCATATCTATGTGCTTGCAATAACACTGAATCTGAAAGGATATACAAAAAACTGCTAACAGTCCTTACATCTGGCCAAGGGGGTAAGAGACTCTTTTGTAAGTGCCTTGTAACAGAATGGTCCCTGACATAATGGTTCAATATAAAACTTTCAACTT